CTTTGTAAGTAATGTAGTTAAATCGTCCTACAATTCACCTGCACCTCTGTGCGTATAGTCAATCGCTTACACTTTAATATGTAAAGTATCTATCTTAGTTATACTGTATGTTTCCATGCAAATATTGTGCCTTAGAGAAAGTTTGTACGTGTGTGTTGGTCAATTCATATCTGCATACACAGGCACACCAAAAAAACAAAGTTGTTTCTGCGTACCTGTGTTACCAATTTTATAATGTTTTTAACAAATTTCTATACAAAAAATCGATTACATAGTCTAATACAATTTATATTTTATTTTTAAATATAGAAATAACATTAATCAATTTTCGGATAAAAATAAATAAGTTTGTTTTATTAAAATTTATCTTCATTATTTAATTAGTGACCATCTTAAATTTATCACAAACATTTTTCTTTACCTATTTTCTAAGTGTGAAACCCGGTGAAACTTATCTGAAGACAAAAATCAGTGATGTGTAAAAACATGATTAGTAAATGGAATCTGGTTCAGACATGTTCATATCAAATTTGATTGTCAGTAAAAAGTAATACTTGTTGAATTGGAAATAATATTATACAGAATGTTCAGTAAGTAAGGAAACAGGTCAGTTGTTACAAACAATGAAAACAATAGAAGCCCGTTTCCTTACTTACTGAATATCCTATATAAAACGGTTTCATTAATAAAGTAAATGCAGATACAAAAATATAAATAGTTAGCTCAATCGCTTCAAATAGATTGATTGAATATTGCGATAAAACATTCTCCACTTGTTAATTTCATATTTGTTAGTTTGAATGAAATTATAATGTTAAGTGTGCGGATAAATTAAATATATTTTATTGACTTGAATAAGTTTACTCAATAAAATGTTATCTCCGTAAGCTAGTTTTCAAATAAATAATAAAAAACTTAACTATAATCCTAGTATATAAAGTATTTAATTTATAAGTTTAGTAATAGATAAATTATAATAAAGCAATGTATATTAAAAAACCAAATTGTTATCANCAATGTGTATTAAAAAACCAAATTGTTATCATAACTCATAATAACTATTATTTCTGTACTATTAATATAAAATTAAAAATATTTAGAACTTAATATAAGTAAATAGATAGAATCATTCATTTACTTAAACTAACTTCTAATTTATAAATATCACCTAATCCAAATACGATAATACAATAATAATACTTGTTATACTTAACCGAAACAGAAGTTATATTTTATCACATATGGGTAATAAAATAAAGCAATCTTGTCATCCATGTTATCCTACCGTGATGGGTTTGCCGATAAATTAAATTAATAATTTATTTTATAGAAGTATTACAACGGTAAAAAGAATTTTCTCTTTTCGTGCGGAAATGAAATACGATTGTTTACTTAATACATTTTACAGTGTTATTGGAATAGAATAACATCATAAATGATGCAAGTGTATATAACAAAATAATAGATAAACTTTTGTTTCCGGTAGAAAAATTTAGTCTTCTGAAAAATAGATATTATTTGTAGTGTTCGTGTATATTGTTTTTGTTAAATTCTAAAGTTAAAAATCAGTTAGGAAAAATTATTTGAAATTTTTGTATTAAAATAAAAACAATTTTTTGAATAACACAATTTGTCATAAAAATATANGTTTAAAAACAATTTTCTGAATAATACAATTTGTCATAAAAATATACGCATAAGCTTAGGAAATACTGAAAAACCTGAAGTATTACTTTAATAATGTACTTTCATTAATAGAAGTATCCTTAAACATTTTAATTATCATTTTCAACAAAAAATTATAAATTATTTATTTTTATGAAATAATATTTTCTTATATTTATGTACTATTTAATAATACTTTTTGTATTTATTTTATTTCNTAACTTAAGAGATTATGTGTCTTATGATTATAAACTATATTGTTAACGTTATTTGTTTTTTTTATTTTACAATTTTTAATTTGTAATAACAGTTAATACAATACATCAATTTTGTGATAAAAATGTTATAACAATGAACTACTTGAAATGTTGCACATATTATAGTAGCTTAAGTGTCATTAATTATTTACAGTGTTATTAAATAATTTACAATATAATTAATTATAAGATAGATTATAAATAAGTTAAAATAAAAAATATTATGCACAATTGTGTTTACAATTATTATTATTACAGTTATTATAATGTATGTATTATGTATTTCAATCTTGACACCAGTTTTGTTTGAAGTCACGGATTGGGTTGTCTGGAAGATATGAATTAATTCTAATCGTTTGGCTAGCTGATTTAAGTAAGTGTGAAGTTTCGATTAAAATTGTTTATAGTATTCTTTAGTATTATTGTTTATTAAACTTATTTTGAACCATTGTATTTCAGATAAATCACTCTAGTAGATAGACATTTTGAAATACTTGAATTGATCTTTTGTTAGATTTTTTGCCAGAGCTCCATGTGACAAGGCTGTAAGATCAAAGTGGATGAAGTATTATTTTGAATGTAGACATTTTTGAGCGCAGGAGTAGCCTTAATAAATGTTGTCTAACATCTTAATGATATTAAGCATCTTGTGTTTGCGCTTAAGGTGAGAAGCCCAAGTTGATCTTCTGTCTAAAATTAAATCCCAGTACTTAACTTATATCGAATGAGAAATAATGGAGTCATTGGTAAGAATATTTACAAGTGGACGATTTTCTTAAGAATGAAAGTGACAAAAGAAGATTTTGTTTCATAAGTTTTTACTAGTCATTTATTAAAACATAATGAAAGCATATTTAAAATGTGTTTGTAGTTAAGAACTAGCTACTTAATGATCTGTAGATAGAAGTTATGGAAGTTAAAAGTTATTTTACTCCAGAATTTTTATGTTTGTACATTTTTAACATTTTAGAGAATTAAATGACTTAAAAATTAGTTAGCTATAAAATTTAATTTTTCATGGGAAAACCCAACACTTTTTTTCTTTTTGTTTTTTAACGTATCTTTAATATTTAAATAATTTAATTTTTAATTGAACCAATATTAATGGAATTATTTATTTTAAAAATGTTTATTTAATACTCTATTTTATTTAAGTATTATTCTGAAGAGAAAAGTCAAGAAACAAAAAAATAATTACATTTAAATTTGATGAAAAAAAAGAAAAGATATTTGATACATTTTTTGTTTATATTGTAAATTTGAATAAAGTGTAATTATTGACACATAATTACACAAATCACAAATTAAAAAACAGATAGAAAAATATAGGATTACAGTTTTTATTATAACTACTATAAGAATTAAATGATCTTAAAGCTTATGTAAATATTTGTATATTTGGTAGAATGAAGTAATTTAATATCAATATACAAACGTCGATATTGTTTGTAAATTTATTAAATACTATTTTCATCCCATGAAGCAGAAAAATTAATATATATTTTGATATGGTACAATACGTTTGAATATCGATAAAAATTAATAGCTTCTTAGCTAAAAAAGTTATATAATTTAAAATAATTGATTATTTTAAGAAAATAATTGATCTGGATAGGATTGAATAGCGTTTTTTAAAAACAGCTGGCTGATTATTAAGTTATGAAATATGAGATGATTTTATAGTCAAATATACTTGGAAATTTTGCGATAAATTATTATTTATCATAAATATTAGTTTTTTTTTGTCCTTTGACATTTTATAATGAGAATTCAATAAAAACGGTTTTTATTGTCAGCAGTTATAATTATTATTACTCGTGAAACTTATTTTTAGTTTAATATAATTGGACTACAGTCTACACGATGTCAATTATAAATAAATTGATTATTATAAATGAAAAACATTGTAAGTTAATAAAATTATAATGGTAAAAATATATTAGTTTTATTAAATGAAAAGAAAAAAGTTGAATAAAATAATGTAATTTAAAATTGATGCATTATTCATATTAATGATCTCAAAATAAATAATTTAACGAAAACTTTATTTATATATTTATATTCGATTGGAACAAGACCTCTAGAAAGAAAATGACTAAATGAAATTCAATGTAAATCAAGATATCTATGAAATTAAAATAACAATTTTAATCTATTCATGACGTTTGAAATAGTTTAACCCTAATTATGATATAGAAATTAATTGTTAAATTGGTACCAACATTGTAAGTGATTATAAAAATGTGAAAATAAAATAAAAGAATAAACAGCTATTTTTTTATTTTTGAAATGAAGAACATTGAATTACTTAGTTGAAATTTGGTTCAATTTATTTAGTTTTTATAAAATTCGTTCTTTTTTATCGCAATTATAATATTTTATATTAAAATATATTCCTTAAATTCAATATTCCTTTTTTAAAATACGAAGAGTTATTCAAAATAATTGTTGAAGGACATTTAAAAGGTAGAAATTATAAAGGAAGATCGCGTTTTCAGTATATATATATATATGCGATAAGCAGTGATTACTTAATAATGCATTTCTTAGAAAAAATTAGGAGAAAGGTTAGCAACAAAAATTATTGGAAAACTGCTGCAACCCAATATCAGAATTTAAGAAGAAATATATTTAAATATCTTGATAGTAATCTTTCCTACTAAAAATTAAAATATGGCATTTTGAAAGTTTTTATCAAAACAAGAGTTCAATTTCAACCTAAAAAAAAAAAGTTACGCTTAGTTTAAATAAAATATATTATAAATAAATTCAATTAATTTAGTGATGATAAACAAGGAATTATTATTAAAATATTAAAAAGTCATCAAACTTTTCATGTCATCAAAATTTTTCATTTTTTTGTTGAAAACAGATAATTTTCTCAACTGCAAATTTGTTAAGTAATGGAACATATTATGTTTACTTTAATAAAGTAAACTAAAGTAATTTACTTTATTAAAGTAAACGCTTTTTCAAAAATGACATATTTTTTGGATAGAATATTTGTCTTATAGGGGTTCTTTGGACAACGTTATACAAATTTTTGTGATTTTTTTTATAGATATATCCAGAACTGTAATACTAAAGAATTAAAAAAGTCAAATAATATAGAGCATCCTTATATTCAATAAGCAAATATTTTAGTATAAAATTAAAAAAAAAAAAGCTTAGGAAATATAGAGGATATTTTTCGCCAAATAATATGCCTTTTCTACAATATAGAAAATGTGCTTCTGTTTTTACAATTAACGTTGATCGCAGCGTAACGGAAAAAAATAAAAAACTTATATTATAAAGTTAATAATTGATAGCAAGACATTTTAATACTTTGACATAAAGTGACTCATTTATCATTTTTAATGATTTTTTATATTATATTCTGGAGATGTATTTTAGTTATCAAAATTAAATTTTAAAAGACTATTACGATAGGCTTTAATTTTTTTTTCATTTCACAATTAATGTAAAATATAATAGATATATTTTATTAGTAAGTGTATTTATTTAGTAATTTTATGGAGTTATAGTAAAATGTGGTAAGTCTGAAGATAATTGAATGCTACACTTATCGGGATTTATTTTATACATTATTCAGTGGCTAGTCAGAATTTCATAATGGATAGCCCATGATAAAAAAAAAACTACTGAATTCCATATTTCGAACTTTTTTTTTTGCTCTCTCATTTCATTTTAGAAATTAATATTGCTGTCAATGAAGGTCCGGTTGGGAAAATATGAAAAATGTTGGGTAGGACATGATTANAATGAAGGTCCGGTTGGGAAAATATGAAAAATGTTGGGTAGGACATGATTACATAAAACTTAGTTAAAAATAATTTTTGATAATTTAATTTAATAGTAAAACTGTATTTTTGGAGTTAAGCTACAATATTTCATAGAAGAAATGATAAAAAACAGTAGGATAATTAGTTTATTATGAACCACTTAATCAAAGAAAAAAAATTATTATATTATAATAATTTTTTTCGTATTTCTTATAGGTACATGTCTTTTCTACTTAATCTATCAAAAAACCTAGTTAATTTTGTATGTTGCATCTTAAAAAAGTAAGTTGACACTCCTATAAATTATAACGGATGAACA